ATCCCCTGGAACTGGAGTTGCAGACAGTTGTTAGCTACCATGTGGGTGCTGGGATTCAAAGCCAGGTCTTTTGCAAGAACAACCAGTGTTCTTAACTGCTGAGCCATCTCTCCAGCCCCAACAAGTTATTTTTTAAAGAAAGAAAGAAACAAACAAACAAAAAAGAAACAGTGAGTCTTACACAGAATACTCTGGAGGGAAAATCATGTCCACAGATGCAAGTCATCCATAATGCACATGTGAACACTCTCCTCGTTCTTTCTATTTTGCATCAATGGAAAAAGCACGGTTTTGAGCTGAATCTAAATCCCAACCAGGCCCCTATGAGTCACTTCACTAGTAATGTTGCATACTGACTCTGTTTCCTTGCCTATAAAATGGAGCCACTGGAATTGCAAGTCAACCCCAATGTTGAGTGTAGAGTGATCACTGTGGTATGCCCTCATTTCACGTTTATCTATTGAGTCTTTCTCTGTGCCAGGCAATGAGTGAGCACTGAGGATACCATAGGAAAGAGAGCAGACCAGCCCATGCTTTCCTGGAACATAGGGCCTGAAGGGAAGGCATACAAGAACAATCTCATTTCACGTTTATCTATTGAGTCTTTCTCTGTGCCAGGCAATGAGTGAGGCACTGAGGATACCATAGGAAAGAGAGCAGACCAGCCCGTGCTTTCCTGGAACGTAGGGCCTGAAGGGAAGGCATACAAGAACAACGGATACAAACTTCAATCCCCAAAACTCAGAGGTTCAGGGAAGGTACCTTTCCTTGTTCTAGATTCAGCTTCTCTCTCAAGGCCTCATTCTAGATTTATAACTTCATCTCAGTCATTTCCCCCAGGTTGTTTTTAAAAATATTTATTATTTTTATTTTATGTGTATGAGTGTATTGCCTGCATGTGTGTAAGTGCACCCATGTTGTGCAATGCTGCGGCGGTCAGAAGAGGGCATCAAATTCCCCTGGAACTGGAGTTAAGGATGGTTCTTAGCTAACATGTGTTTGTTGGGAATCGAACCCAGGTCCTCTGTAAGAGCAGTCAGTGCTCTTAAGCACTAAGCCATCTCTCCAGCCCCCTTTCCCCCTAGGTTGTATGATTTAAACTAAAAGTTTGGGTGCTATTGGCAGTACCATTCTCCATCTGCTGCTCCTCATGATTCTCTGTGGCTTGGTTACTCCAGAAACCCCACAGGTCACCACCACATTAGATCCTAGTTCCTGACTACCAAGTGCTTTACATCCAGCCACTCTCTGTTCTGGTCTACCACTTCACCCAGGTCCTGTCTTCAGTGTGCCTGGCCCACCATCATTCTTTCCTTCTCGCATCCATCCATGCTGGAGCTAGTGGTCACTTTCCAAAGCTTAGGTCTGACCTTGTATCTCATTGTTTTTCTTTCGGTCTTTTTGAGACAGAGTCTCCAGTAGCCCCAACTGGCCTGTACCTCACTATGTAAACCAGGCTGGCCTTGAACTCACAAGGCTCCACCTGCCTCTGACCCCTGACTTCTGAGATAAAGGTGTGTACCACCATGCCTGGCCTCCTGACCTTGAATCTTCGTAGCTTTACAGCTTGCAGTGATTCTCTAGTGATTTTCCTGTATTCTCACCTGGACCCTCTAGAACTTGCTTACTTCTCCTATTCATCCCTCACATTCCTTACACCTACAGGCAAACCACTAAAAACCATGATTAAAATCACATATGTGCATACCAAGTGCTACACATTTGGTTGTATCAACTCATAATCCTAAGAGTAACCCACAATAATCATTATTCTCTCATTTTTAAAAGAATATTTATTTATTTTATGTATATGAATGTTATGCCTACTTGCATGGTGGTGCACCCATATCCTGCAATGCCCATGAATGCTAGAACAGGGCGTTGGAGCCCCTGGAACTGGAGTTAGGGATGGTTGTTAGCCATCATGTGGGTGCTGGGAACCAAACCCAGGTCCTCTGCAAGAGCAGCCAGTGCTTTTAACCACTGAGACATCTCTCCAGCTCTTAACACTCTCATTTTTAACTGATGGGGAAATTGAGGAGTGGAAAAAGTAAAGCCACACAGAAAATGAATGACTCCTGAAAAATCAAACCTGGAGACTCCATTTCTGCCTGCACTCAGTCCAACTAACCTCGAGCTGTGTCTGGGCTGAATGAGTTCCTGGGCATTTCCTCCTCCTCCTCTTCCTCCTCTTCCTCCCCACCTCCTCCTTCTTCTTTTAAATGATTTATTCTAAATATGTATACGTGTGTGTGTGTGTGTATGTGTGTGTGCACAGTTGGAATTACATGTGAGCCATTCAACATGAGTGCTAAGAACTGAACTTGAGTCCTCTGCAATAGCACTATGCACGCTTAATCACTGATCCATCCCTCCAGCCCCACCAACAAGCATTTCCTAAGCACTTGCTGTGGGCCCAGTCCTGAACTAAGCATTATGGGAGAAATAAGGAAAATGAGGACACGGTTTCATTGAATATAAGGTTGGCCTGACAAGGCTCATCCTGGCCACCTAGACATTGGCATCAGGCAAGAATCTCTTGCACCTATTTTTAATCTTAGCTCTTCTGCCACTTTCCTCCTCCTCCATCACCCCATTGCCTGGATTTTCTCCAGCTCCTGATGATCTGCTCAAGGAAAGGAGCAGGCAAAATTATGGACAGAACAAAGATTGCTGTCAAAGGGCCTACTGGTGTCTCCCAACAGAAGGAAGACTGTTCTCACCTAATAGAGGAGGGGTCTTCTACTTTGGGGGAGAGGAACAAAACAGATTCATAGAATGTTAGTGTTATATATGCCCAATTAGTTCTAATTTTAAGTAGACCAGGCACAGGGGCTTCCTTAGCTCACCCCACAATTAAGACAAAACTAGATCTTGGGTGCTCTTGGTTTGTTGGCTTCCCAGTTCTGTACCCTCATCCCTAAACTGTGTACTTAGTAAATACCACAGACTAATACTTCCACTTACAAAATGAACACTGCTTTTCGCATTGTCTATCAAGCTTGGTCCTGAGTTTGTTAAAGCATACCATGGTTTTCAGGTGCTGCATGGGAGGAGCTCTAGCCCAGGCACCCAGCAGCCTTCCAGATTCGGTGTCATTCTGTTGAAATGAGAAAACTGGTCAGAGAAGGCAACACCCCTGACCTATAATTAGTTAGGATTGGTATATAAGTCCCCGAGTCTTTCTTCTTCCTGGATCCCTCTGCTTCCTCCATCCATGCAAAACTTTTAGACCCATAACTGGGTGTGGCATCTCCTTTCCGTGCTTGCTTTCTCCCACATTGTTCCTCACAGGACTCTACTTCCTGCTATCTTTGCCTTCATGTGGTGGCCTTCTGCTCAGAACTCACAGCCTTTCTTCACCCCACCAACCTATGGGCAACTCTTAACCTTCCAGAAATCATCCCTCAAAGCCACAACCAGAAAGGGAGAGGAAGGAGGGAGGGAGGGAAGGAGGGAGGGAGAGAGAGAGAGAGACAGAGACAGAGAGATAGGGAGACAGAGACAGAGAGACAGAGAGGATTATTTTTGAATTGAATCTGACCTCAAGCCAACAGACAAAACTAAAACTTCCCCTCCTTACCCCGTGGGGGAGATATGGATGGCCACAGCCTCTGGGC